CTACTACTCAAGAAAGTGAGGGGAATATCTCCTTTCAATATGAATTTCTCTTGGGTCATTTTTCTCCAAAGTGACTGTATTTTCCATATTTCTATCAGTGTTTGTCTTCAGAGAGAAATGCACAGTATCCGATTGCTTAGTACTTAAGAACATTGTGATGATACACTGACCTTAACCGCCAATCCCCAAATCATCACACTCATGAAAGGATCACGATACATGTCAAAACCATATCACACAGCCAGCATCCTGCTATTATTTTGTAACAGAAATATAGAAAACAGACAAGATTTTTATTTACTTATTTATTTGGTTGGTTGGTTGGTTGGTTGGTTTTTCGAGGCAAGATTTCTCTATAGCCTGTCCTGGAACTAGCTTTTGTAGATTAGGCTGGCCTAGAACTCACAGAGATCAAGCCTCTGCCTTGAGAGTGCTGGGATCAAAGGTGTGCACCACCACTGACCGGCTCTTTCTCTCTTCTTGCCCTCATCCACCCATTGCCTCACTGTGATTTAATATCACCCCCTCTCAACATGGACAAACATTCTCTAGCCTCCCTCAGGTCCCTCAAGCCATCCCCTGTTTAGTAGTTCTCCAAAGGAAAACGTCCTTAAGAGCTTATCCACGCCTGTGGAGGGAGTTCACAGTTAAACCTAACAGGGAAGGAACCTTCATAAAGATGGAAGTGCAAGCATCTGCTGTATTCTGAAACAGGCTGATCATGTGGTAGGAAAGTAATTCTCTTCTGGGCCGAGAGATACAATTTCAGTTTTATCAGGCAGCGAGTCATCAGACAGTTCTGCAAGACACAGATACTGCTTGAATTCTACAAAGATAACTGCTATCAGGCTAGAGGGCTGTTTGCACCGAAAAGCAGAGGTCAAGAGACTAGTTACAGAGATACTTCGGTGGAGAAAACATCCCAGTCTGAACTGAGGCAAGGGAAACAAAAAGGAAGACAAAGGGCCCAGCCAAGACTCACTGAGATGACATCAAGAGCCTGGTAACTAACTCATGACTTCCTGCTCATGAGACCATGAACAGCAAAGCCAGTCCTTGGGCAACAGGGGTGGGTTTTATAAGGTAAGGGAAACAGTTCTTCTGGAGCAGACTAAGCGTGTGCAGCCCTCTGAAGATGCCCACCAGACAGACTAGAGGAGAGAATGCAGGTCACAAACGGGACTGCCAGGAACTAAGGAGCCAATGGTTTAGCAAAGCTGCCTAGATACAAATGGGCATTACACAAAGTTACACTGGAAACATTATTCTGTACTAAATGTTCTCTGGAGGGAAAAAAAAATAAAGATAAATTCAAACCGAAAATTAAATTAGTAATATCCCCTGGTAGTAGAAAAAAGAAACAACAGCCACAGGTTGTACTCTGCTCTCTAAATACATGGCTGTGGCACACACATGACTACACGCATGCACACTCACACATGAATAAGTAAGTAAATAAGCCGGGTAGTGGTGGCACATGCCTTTAGGCCCAGCACTCGGGAAGCAGAGGCAGGTGAATCTCTGTGAGTTCAAGGCCAGTCTGGTTTACAGGCTCCAAAGCTACACAGAGAAATTCTGTCTCGAAAAACAAAAAATAAATAAATAAATAAATATTAAAACTTTAAATAGGTGCTAGGTAGATTAGCACCTAGGAGAATCTGAGCTCAAACCCCAGCACCACTACTTAAACGTGTTTCACTTTTAAATCCTTTTTGATAAACCTCAGTTCCTTTCACACCCACACTCTTGGGTGGATATACCTTTGGTCTTTTTTTCTGGGAGTGGGCATTGAGACAGGGTTTCTCTGTGTAGCTTTGGAGCCTTCCTGGAACCTTTAGTCTTTTTTAAAAGCACCTTTAACTTTGCTCCAGACTAGTACTGAAATTCTTTTCTGTGTCAAAGGACCCAATCCTGAGCTTACTGAGTTGAGATCTCTAAAAGATAAAGAAGACTCCTCACTGCCAAGGGTGAAAGGGTAGAGCTGTCCCTCTGTCCCTTAGCTGCTAACAGTACATTAAGGGAAAGTTTCAGCTATTGTGTCCTCATGTTTTCCCAGCATGGTCAGTCTCTGAGGTTGATGTCCCCACTGTTACTGAGTAGCAGCCAACGGGAAGAACAGAAACCAGACCAAAAAACCTAGGCACAATCAGAGTTGGGAATCAGCTGGCTGTAACAGCCTGCAACACTGAGGACAGGGCAGCCCCAGCAATGGCCTGTTGGAGCCAGCCACGACAGAAGGACACCACTAGGAAGAGATCATGGCAGCAGCCCCTTTTGTACAATCACGACAAAGGCACTGCCATAGCCACTAGACACTGTTTCAAACTTCCAGGCATGACAATGCCAGGGCACCCCTTCTTTGTACTTGCTAACCTACCATGACTGTGGAAGAAAGGGGCCACACCTGACTGGGAACTCTTTTGGCAGGACTACGTCTCCCTCTTCTTCCAGGATTGATAGCTTTTCCCTAATTGGTTTCATTCTACACCTAATTTGGCACGTGCACAAACAAGCAAACACACACACACACACACACACACACAGGCAGGGCAGGGCAGGGCACCTGGGTTTATGAAACAGGGTTCAAAGGCTCTGAATGGTTAAACTCTTCAGATAGCTCAGTGGTTCTCAACCTTCCTAATTCTGTGACCCTTTAATTCAGTTCCTCATGTGGTGGTGACTCCCAACCATAAAATTATTTTTGCTTCTTCATAACTATAATGTTGCTACAGTTATGAACCCTAATGTAACTATCTGATATGAAAGAAATCTGATATGCTCCACAGGTTGAGAACACAGCTCCCTGAAGGGAAGGAAAGCTGTTCCTGCCTTCCAGACCTGTTAGAGACAGATTCCTTGCCCCTTGGGCTACAGCTGCTTTGGCCTCCCAGTCCTGCAGCTGCAGGCAGGGTGACTGGTTCCTACCTCAACCTCTGTCTTGGCTACAATCAGAGTGACTGATTCCTGACTCAACCGCCAAGACTGAACTTGTGAGTGCAGGCAGGAATTAGTGTCCGCTGGGTCCCTACTGATTCAAGCCCCGTGAGACCTGCTGCTCCAGTCCCACGCCACCCCCAGCCTGTGGGAGCTCTAACTCCCCTACCACTTCCCTCAGTTCCTTGGTTTGCATCCTGTGGCAAAGCAAGAATTCCAACCTCTCACTGCTGGTATGGGAAGTCCTTCTGTATACGTGTTGCTTTTATTGGTTAATGAATAAGGGAACTGCTTTGGACCTATTGCAGGGCAGAACAGAGCTAGCTGGGGAAAACTAAACCGAATGTTGGGAGGAAGGAGGCGGGGTCAAGAGAAGCCATGTAGCCCTGTTAGTGACAGATGCTGGATGGAACTTTACCTGGTAAGCCACAGTCTCGTGGCGATACACAGATTAGTGGAGATGGGTTAGTTTAGGATATAAGAGTTAGCCAGAAATACGCTTAAGCTATTGGCCAAACCGTATTGCAAATATGGTTTTGTGGTCTGGGTAGCTGGGAACAAACAAGCAGCCTCCTACTACACACTATTGCTATTGCATGGAGGTGGCATTTCTGCATGGCACCTGATTTTCTTATTCGGTTCATCTGCTAATCTTTTGTTAATAAAGTCCTGCCTTGGTCGCCTTTGATCACTGTCTGCTCACTTCGTTCCTGGACACGGCAAGTACCTGGCCGGAAGATAAGAGACCGGAAACCGCTCCAGAGGAAATTCCCACCACTGCTGTGACTCATCCCTCACCTCTCAGCCTACCCTGCAGGCCTCTTGAAGCACGCACATTGGGACTGGACATCAGTAAGTGCTTTCCTTAAGAACACTCAAGACTTGAACTCCTGCAGGCAGGGAATGGGGAACAACCCCAGCTCCCCATCCTCTGTATCACCGTGAGGCTAGGCACACAACCAGCAACCAGCTATCCTGAGTATGCTCACTTAGCATGTCTGTGATGGGAATAAAAGAGGATCTAGCAGAGACAAGCAGGTCCACTCAGCAAAAAGCAATGGAAAGGGTCCTTAACCTCAATGCCCTCTTTAGCCCCTTGCTGTGAAGATACGATTTGTTTTCCTAAGGCTGGCCTGCCTTCCTTCATGTTCCAAAAGGGCAAGAGTTGTCAGAATATACCTCACCACCAGGAAAGACCCACCACAAATCACCCGTACATATGCATGAGGCTTCAGCCTCTCCAGCACCCCTCAGCATGCTCAGAGGGCAAGGGAAGGGATTTCCCACAATAGGTGGAACACATCCTCCTGTCAGGAAAGCATCTTAACTGAGAGTTTCCCGACAGAAGCCTCTGTCTACATTACAAACCTCATTCCAACACCCCACTCCCAATGTGGACTATTAGCTAAACCACTACCCTAAACCAGACATGGTGACTCATCTTATAATCCCATCACCTGCAGACTGATGCTGAAGAATGGCTGAGAGCCCTGGACCAGACTGCGACTATGTAGTAAAACTGCCCCACCCCCCTTTCTGTCCTCCCTGACCCAGAAAAAGGGAGTTAAAAGAAAAAAAGAAAGAAGAAGAAAAAAAGAGAGGTTGCAGGAAAAGAAAGATGAAGTAGTAAAGGAGGAGAAAAGGAAGGAGGTGGGGGTGGTAATAGTGGAGGAGATGGAGGGTGGGGGTAGTAGTGGAGGAGGAGGAGATGGAGGAGGTAGCCATGGTACTTGGGCTGGGGGTAGGGGTGATAGTGGTCAAGAAGGTGATAGAAGTGGAGGAGGTGGTGGCAGAGGAGGAGGTAATAGAGGAGGAGATGGTTGTGGTGGGGGGGTGGGGAGGGTGGAGAGGTGATGGTGGTGGAGGTGATGATGGTGGAGGTGACAATGGTGGAGGTGATGGTGGTGCTGGTGCTGATGCTGAAGGTGGTGGTGGTGCTCCTGCTGCTGGTGGTGTTCTAAGTAGTCTGAGAAAGGAAGCGATAAAGGTACAAAGACAAGAGGAGAATATTTTCCCATTTGTGAGTTTGATAAAGAGCAACGTTTTTGCTCCTCTGCAGGACTTACAGTGGGGAGAGGCCAGGGAACAGCTTCCGCAAGCAGGTGCCTATGTGAGCCAGCACATCACTCACGTCCTCCGGTGACTCCATCTTCATGGACATGCTACACTTCTCAGTTTCCACAACCATCTGCAAGAACAAGCATCACACTTAACCAGGAGCCCAACTTCCCCCCTCTTTAGTAAGGTTATAAAGTGATGTATGTAAGAAGCATTTCAATGGGTGGGACTATTAACTGGCTCAGCCACTACAGAGGGTCCTAGGGTTTTCAGAAACCAAAACCATAACCACCGTGTGACACAGCTAAGTCACCTTTGGGAATACACCTAAAAGATGCTTGGTCAACATACCACACACTTACACATCCATGTTTATGGCTGGGATATTCATAACAGCCAGGAAATAGAATGAGCCTAGATATCTGTGGTAGTCACTTTTAATTATCAATTTGACACAGCCTCGAATCACCAGGGAAGAGTCTTCCTAAGGATTTGTGTGGATCAGGTTGTGTTTTGAGATGTTTGTGGTGGATGGTCTTGATTGTTAACTGATGTGAAAAGAGGCAGCCTACTGTGTGTGGTCCCATTCCTAGGCAAGAATTCCTGGACAGTGTAGGAATAGAAAAACCGAGTTGAGAATAAGCAAGCAAGGATCCATCTGTTTTTTCTCTGCTCTTGACTATGGATGTGATCAGGGAACTGAATCAGGATCCCAAAGTCCAAACTGGTTGGAATAGACCTCCCTGGTGACTTGACTGTATCCCACACATCCTGGCCTGATCCTCTCTGGAGAAAAATCTACCTAAGCTTGTGGTAGCTCAGTTCTTGGATATGACGTCATCCATTTGTCGCTTCTTTTTCTTTCTTTTGAAACTTGTGTTTTAAGATAAGAAATCTTATAAAACACTGAAATAAAAGTTAATAATCTTTTTTTATTAGGAGCAAAGGAAAATTCAAGTTCTTATTAAAAGACCAACCTGTCTAAGCAGAGGAACCTGCAAGGGAAAACACTGAAAACAGTAAGGTAACAAAATCTTATGCTAGGCTTAATGGCAGCATGGGCTGGAGACTCCAGAAAGAGCTGAAACTTATTCCTCATGTGGTCCTGAAAATAAGCTAAAATCCACCTTAAAAGAAGAGATTGGGCCACAAAACAGCTTGCTGATGACGGGATCATTCCACAAGAGACAGTCACTGGTCACTTTCCGAAAGGATGACATCATCTTAACCCTCGAAGTCAGTGGTTGTCAACCTGTGAGTTGCGACCTCCAAAGGGTCAATATCAATATTGATAACTTCTAATATCAGATGCCGTGCATCTCAGATATTTAGATTATGATTCATAACAGTAGCAAAATCCCAGTTATGAAGTAGCAAGGAAATAATTTTATGGTTGCAGGTCACCACAACAGGAGGAACTGTATTAAAGGGTTTCAGCATTAGGAAGGTCAATGACCACTGCTCTAAAGTAACCATGCGCAATGAAGTCCTTTGGTGGCACTGCAGTATGCTAACGTCCTCAGCATTTGCTCCTGTTGTCACTTGACTGTGTATAAAAAAGGAAACCAAATTCCATGTACAATTATCCAGGGTGATTCCCACAAAATGGGCCAAATTGAAAATAAGAATAATCTGAAGCAATGTATTCTTGTTAAGGAGAAAAGGAACGGAAAATATGCTGAAAGGATGAGATTCAGTTGGTGAGCCTAACAGTGTAATGAAATTTTTCTACAGAAACTGCAGAGGTATAGCACCTGGTGCCACCTAGCAAGGAGGGAAGAGAGTCTTCATTTTAACTCTCAACACATTCTTCAAAAAACTGGTAGCAGATGTTAACCTGGTGGCTGAGACCCATAATCATAATATAAACACCAAAAACATGGGAGGCCAAAGTGGGAGGAGCACCATGGGTTTGAAGCCAGCCTGGACTATACACTAAGTTTCAGATCTAATTGATCTATAATAATAGGATACTGTCAAGAAAGAAGTAGTAGTGGGGTGGGGGTGGGGTGAGGGGAAGATAAAAAGAGGAAGAGAGGAAGGAAGGGAGGGAGGGAGGGAGGGAGGGAGGGAGGAAGGAAGGAAGGAAGGAAGGAAGGAAGGAAGGAAGGAAGGAAGGAAGGAAGGAAGGAAGGAAGGAAAGAAAGAAAGAAAAGGGGAAGGGGAAGGAAAGAAAAGGAAAGACCACAAGAAAACAAAGAATGGGAGAGAGGGAAGTGGAAGCATGAGGGGTGGGAGGAAGGACATGACAGAATGCTCTAGGCTAAGTCCCAACCTGTCCTGAGCTCAGTGGTCCAAGAGCTAGACATAGTGACCCCAGGAAAAGGCAGCAGCCCAACACCCAGGGAAGCTCAGTAGCTGTTGCCTGCCAGACTCCACTGTATCTGTCTGGGAAGAGGCTAAGTCGGAGTGCTGCTTCCATACAGTGGGCTCCTTTGCTTCTCAGGTAGACAATCTTTTCTAAAGCCAGATGATGTGGGAGGCCATTGTGTGTCTCTGCTTGACACCCTGCCCCCAGCCCTGGGTGATGACATCATCTGTGCAGGGCCTTTCACATCCCTCGCTTCTATTCAGTTCACAGTCTGGGCACAAGTGATTCATAATTAGCCTATTCTAATTCCACTTGATCTTCACACATAATCATCCTAATTATACAGGACTGAATAGGATGGCAGGGAAGAGAAAGGGCAACAGGTGGGGGAAGAAATGAGCCTTCAAATGCAACCTGCCGTGAAGGTGCTCACAAAGCCCAGCTGGAGATGTCAACACCTCTGCATAATGTAAAGTCTACAACAAAGCCACCAAGGTGGGGCCACCCAACACATCATGGCCTCAACAAAAAGAGCTGTCTGTCACATGCTGGCTTCCTTCTGTTCCAGGCTGAGCAGAAACAGAATGTTCAAACACCTCACAGGGTAGAACTCATAACCTCTACTCCCATTTAAAATAGCAATTTGGAATGTGCTTGCCTAGCGTGCATATGGTCCTAGGTTTGATTTCCAGGGCCTTGGTTAAAATCAACCAGAGATTACAAGCCGCCATCTCTACTCCTAATCACAGAACCCAACTAAAGCATCCTATGGGTTGAGCTACATCCTCTTTTTTTTTTTTCTGGTGTGGGAGGTCCTTCTGTCTATGTGTTGCTTTCATGGAGCCGCCAGAGTCAGACATGCCAAAACTTTGCCAATAAGCCATTGCCACGTGGCAATACACAGACTAATAGAAATGGGTTAAATTAACATAAGAGTTAGCCAATAAGAAGCTAGAGCTAACAGCTCAAGCAGTGATTTAATTAATACAGCTTCTGTGTTATTATTTCTGATCTAAGCTATCCGGGTGGCCAGGAAAAACAAGCGGGTTCTCCTCTTGTTTTTTTCTCCTTCTTATCTTGATATAGAGTCACTAGATTGCTTGGAGTCAACTTCAACTCATTCTGTAGTGTTGGCAGGTCTTGAATTAGGCATCCTCCTGCCTCAGCATCTAGAGGCTTAGACTACAGACCTGATCTACTGGGCCCAAATATAGCCAACATTTTTTTTTTGTAAACCACAGTCGATAAACTTATGTGGTGATTTTGCTTCCTCTAATATAAACAAGCAGAGGTTGGCTTTCTTGAGCCACTCTATGATAGAGCAAAACTTTAGTTTGAAAACTAATCATGATAATAATAACAATAACAATAATAATAGCAAGTCTTGAGTTGCAGATGAAAATATAAAATTCCATAGTATAGGGGTGTACTATCCCATGTACCATGAGCACCAAAGGTGTAGTGACATCATCAAGACTTTAAAATGAGATTTCAACATCCCAGATTTCCACAAAGGAAAAGAGCAATAGTTAAGGCAAACATTACTAATTCAGGAACATACTGACCACTCACTCATTCATATACAAGGCACCATATTCTACCCCAAGCATTTTACCTGAACTGATGAACCACACAAATGGTAAAAATAGCAACAACAAAAGTTTAATAACCCCAGAATGTTAGCAAGAATTCATTACCCCTTTGAGACTCAACCAACCCTTTCACAAAGGTAGCCTAAGATCATCAGAAAACACAGAAATTTACATTATGATTTTTAGCAGCAGCAAATTTACAGTTATGAAGTAACAATGAAAATCATTTTATGGTTGGGGGTCACCCCAGCTGTATTAAAGGTGAGCAGCATCAGGAAGGTTCAGAACCACTGGGTTGAGAGCACGGCCACTCTTCCACAGGCCCCAGATTCAGTTTCCAGCACCCACTTCAAGCACCACTGGTGACTCCAAGTTGAGGGGATATGATGTGCTGCTCCTCATGCCTCTAGGAGACATCTGAATATATGACCATTTGTATTCTCTCTCTCTCTCTCTCTCTCTCTCTCTCTCTCTCTCTCTCTCTCTCTAAAACAAAATAAAATCTTTACTCAAAAGATGGTTAGATTGTACGTAACTGGCGGATGTCCTCATCCTCAGACTTCACGTAAACTAGAGACTCAAAGGATGTGAGGCTCTTAAGTTATTGATCCTCTCTTGGGGCTACATGGGTTATGGAGTCTCAGTCTTCAGAACACAGATAACCGAAGTGTGTAGTTGACTTAAAACAATCAAACCAGCTCCGTGGCTGAAGCAGACAGCTGCCTACCCAGTTCTTCTAAGTGGTTGGCATACAGAGGAGACAAGACTGCAGGTTACAGAATGGTCAACTCCTGCAGTCACAGGGGAGACTTCTTCTTGCTGTGCCAACATCTTTTTCACAAGCAAATACCACAGTCAAATCACACTCTCGGTATAAATTTGACAGTCACATTCACTAGTCCCCACTGCTCCCACCCAGAGCCTGACTCATAAACAGACCTTCCTCAATAGAAAGGCCAGCCTAGAGTGCTACCACCATGCATCACTTAGGAGTGATGACTCACTCCAACACAGACTTGGCCATTTGGGCAAACATATGTTGCTGTGATTTTTTTTTCTTGTGCAAAATATATTTTCTGGAGAACGATAAAATATCACTCTCAGCTGCACTATGGAAAACTTCCAGGGATTTGTATGTAATCTCAGCTGTCGTAAATGACAGCTTTGACAGTTTCTTTCGAAGAGCATCACCAGCAACCTAAACACGCATATGCTTTTAAGAGGTAAAACAATCAGTTATAAAAATAACGCTCAGAGAAAGAACCAATGTAACAGAAAAGCAATTCAACCAGAAAACAAGTGTTTGAGATGGTCGATAAAATAAAATGTCTTACAAAATAAGCACAAAGAGGAAAAAGGTCGGCAAATTATCTTTATCAGGAATGATTTCTACAGACATCACAAGTGGATACTATGAGCCCATTGGAGGATGGGGATGCTGCCTCAAAACATAGACAACTGCCAAAGATCTAAGGAAGAACTAATGTTAGCACTGCTCTTCTAAGAAGAGAGATACAGTGCAGAGATTCCTTCCTAGTTCATATGCTAACTCCACGACTATGCTAATATCTTAGAGGAAGAAAAGAAAAAAGAAAAACAACAAACTAGCATCTTAAACAGCAGCGCAAAAACTCCTTCCCAAGGTTTAACATATGGAATATATATATATAATAAGGGAGATACATAAATATATATTATAACATGAAAGGATAATAGATAGTATTGGGAAAAATTTAAATGTAATTTAATAGGATAAAAGTACATATATGTAGAAAATGAAATAAATGATAAAAGGGGTATACCTATAAGGTGATATAACAAGATAAACAGATTATAAAATCAAAACTTAATTTATTTTAAATATAATTCATAATTTATAAAAAGGTAACATGTTTTGACTCATGGGGATTGTCCTAGGAATTAAGAACTTAATATCCACAAATAAATATAATTCTTCATGGAAGACAAGGGAAGAAATCATAATAAACGCATCAATCTCAGGAAATAAAGAAAAACATTGGACAAAATTCAATTCCAGTCCTGATAAAAACTCAACTAGGAATAGAAAGAAATGCCCTGAGCTAGGCAACAATCATTTACGGAACAAATCTATAACAATGCCATACTTGATGGTGAAAGAATGAATCTCCCTTGGAGACAAGCCCGAGACTTGATCTAGTCACTTCAGCATCATGCTGGAGGTGCTGGCTAAAACTTGGTACTACCTTGCCTGGGAGCCAATGTTCCACAGATGCTGGCTGGAGCCAGGAAGCTCCTTGTTCACATGGTTAATGAATGACATCACAAATAGCCATGGGCACCCTAATAAACTCCCCAGAGCTCCATGTCCCCCAGAGTGACATGGAGAGATCCAGATGGATGCCTGCACTCACGCAATAGAGGGATCGTTGTGTCAGTGTGGTCTCCTGTTTTCACGGGATGTGGCAAGTAAGCCTGCTCTTTCACAGAGAAGCACTCCATCTTTCTACAAGTAGATGACTGCAGAATAACTCTGGGAAACATCCTAGGTAAAAAGAAATCAGTGTACCGAATTCTTATTCTATCAGCAAGATGTGTAGGAGCATATAGAATCCAGGAGTGCCCTCCCCATGGGAGTAAGGCAAGAAAAAGAAAAGCTGTGCATATTCACACAAATGATGGCAGCTCCTCTACAGAAACAATGAAATCTGTCAGAAAGTCTGGTTGTACCAGGTGAGGAAAAACAAGTTGGGGGGGGGGGGGGGGACAACGGAAGATCAAAATGTCAAAGTCAACTATTTCTATACAGAACATTCTTTTTAAATTCAGAAGGGGGGAAAGAAAACTATATTCCTGTTAAAAAAATTTTTTTAAAAAAAGCACCTTACCTATGTTCAGGGATATAAAAAAAGAACTGTATCTCTTACACAGTATTGATGACAAACTAAATATTTTGTACTACCTTCTGTGAGGGCAGGTTGACAGTACTCAATGCTGAACAAACATGCCTAGCACAGGACCCCGCAGCTCTGCTAAGACAAGCGTCCACAGCAAATGAAAGCATGCGTGTAGAGATAACGATGGAGAAGTGAGGAACCTTAGAAACACAGGCTTATCTCTTCAAAGGGCATAGTTTACAGCCTGGTGATTCTCTGCTATCTGTGGGCTGGGCTGTACCTGTCTCCCCCAGAATATTATGTTTGCTTATCCCAGACTTTCCCCCCTACCCTAAGTCTTGAACATTGTTTCTTAGTCCATAAAACCACCCTTTAAGAGAGATATCACACGTCTTTTATAACACCCTAGGTAACTTCTATGGCATCTTAGGGCCAGTCCTATCCCCGCTCCCACAGGCATTACGTTCACTTCAGTCATTCTCCCTAGACCCTTATCTTGAGCATTGTTTCTGAGTCAACAGAACCCATCTTTAAACAGTTTCAACTTAAACATCTCCTAAGCTTTGTTGTACACATGGAACTAAATTAATTGTCACCAGAAAAGTTTTCCAAAATTGTGCTGTGCTTAAATATAGCTAAAATAAATGAGTTGGTGCCAGACTCCTGAAGCTTGGCCCAGCACCAACCAAGTTGGGCTGAACTGAGTTTCATTCTTACTTCACCCAGATCATTTCCCTGTTGGTCATGATGCTTGCAGGGACCCCCACATCCATATCCAAAGAAGCAGCTGTTCCTGATACAGCCAAAACTGGGAACAACATACTCTCCAGCACCGGTGCAAGGGCAGACAAACTGATACATCCAAGAGGCAGCACACCGCTCAGCAACATGAAGGAAAGAGCCCCCGAGACATGCAATAAGTCCACCTTGAAACAGTGCATTAACTAAATGAGGAAGGCAAGACTGTAAACTATGTGATTCCATCCATATGAAATGTTATAAAGTGTGACCCCCCCCCTACAGTGACAAAAAGCAGGTGCCCGTAAGAGACTGTAGATGGGGAAGGGGATGAATGAGATGAATATAATCGGTGTCATGGTTGTACTAACGGTTTCGTGACTATATATATGCCAAAAGTTACCGAATTTTGCACTTCACTCCAACAACTTATTGCTAAAACGACACTATTTTTAATCACCTTTGGAACACCCAAAAGAAATCACTTATCACTTCCTTCCAAGAAAGACTTTCATAAAGCTAGGCACGGGGTTCATACCTGTGATCCCCATACTTAGGAGGCTGAGGCAGGAGGATTTGCTGAGAACTTGAGGCTACTCCTCTGCGGTGGGAGGTATTTTACATAGTACTTTATAAAAGTCATGAAGCGATGATGTTAGTACCTGTCAAACAGCATGCCAAATGGACAAGTTGTGTGCACAGCGGCAGCTGGCAAGGAGTTGCTTGGTTCTCTCGGGTACCAGTTTTCTTAACAGAATGAGCTCCTGACCCCTCCCACGCACAGCCGCTGCAGGTCTCTCCTTCTGAAAATTCTATTCTTCCCTTGCTTTTCTGTTCTGTCTCAAGACATCTTCATTTAAGTAACCTCACAGTGGCAGGCTCCTAGAGCTCATACTTACTTGAGTTGGCTTGTGGCAGATGACTCCGTGAATCTCCAGATAGCTGAAGGTTAACTCGAGCTGTAATGAGAGGGGAGGGGGAGAAGAGACCTGTAATGAGGGCTTAAAAACATATCATTTGAGGTTCAAAACATGCTATAATCAGAGCTACCCCAAGGCTAAGTAAGGCTTGTTGCGCCTTCTGAAGACAGGCTGCTTGATGCCTCTGTCCATAGTAACAGCGCTGGGATCCATCCTATCAAAAGAGGCATTACCCACCTCCCAAACAGAGGGGAGGAAGCGGCACCCTTGACTTCTACATTTCATCCAGGCTCGCTCTACTCGATGTGTGTATACTGGCAAATGCCTACAGGACACTAAGCAACCACACACACACACACACACACACACACACACACCCTTTCCTCCACAAAGTTCCTTTGGAAAACCTCAGTCCCCATGGACTAGTCCTTTCTTCTAGACAACATGTTCCTCTTTGTGTCGCACTCTAGCTACTCACTAACATCACCTTCTTCCCCCAAAATCCACAAAATTACTATTTAGATGGATTTGGATGAATATATACTTATGAATTTTAAACTATGTTTAATAGCACATACATAGTTGACAAAGCTACTCTTTCGCCAAGTATTCATATAGTATTTTGTTTATATTTTAATTATTCATTTATTTTTATTTTATGATGCGAGACATTAAAGCCAGCATGGGCAAGCCAGACTAACACCCTCACCACTCAGCTACCTCTTTTCAATGAATTAAAAAGTGCCCCTTCATTTCTTCTCCCATGATCACCATCAGCTCTTCCTACCCTACATATTCTCCAGACTGTGCAGCACATTCCCGGATCTGTCTTTCATCACTAACTTTTCTCCTAGGTGTGCAGTCCCTCATCTCACACCAAACATACAGGGTATGAGACTGGAAGACGGAGGGAAATGACTAGGCCATGTGTGTTCGCCACATCACATTAAATCTAGAAACACGTGCGCATCCTTTGGTACCCCTGGGGGATTCTAGAGATGCCCAAAGACACCACAATCTAGTGATGTTCAAGTCTCTTGTACCAGGGCACACTGTGCAGATACACACATCCTCCCAAATATTTAAGGTCGTCTTTACAGCTCCTACGCAAGGCAGTGCAGTGTAAACAGAAGTGTTGTGTTGCCTGGGGCAGAATGAGAAGAAAATATCTAAAGGGAAGCACAGATTTTGGGTTCGTATAAATGGAATCCACAGATGTGAAACCAATGGATACAGAAAGGCCAGCTGTCCCACCTAAGAAACAAGTGTAGAATCAACCCACAAAGACTGAACTCTGCCCCCTGCTGGCAGGTTGTGCCAAGGTACACAAGTAGGACAAAATATTAAAGCAGAAGATCCAATGTGAAACCCCAGAGGCACAGTGATGTCTGGAGCCTGACTCATAGGAGTTGGTGTGGTAGCTGAGGTCTGAAATTCCAGAACTCAGGAGCCTGAGGCAGGAGGATCACCATGAGTTTAGTGCCAGCTGGGCTACATAGCAAGACTTCATTGGACGGGGTGGTATATGAGAATGAATAAATGGATTCATTCTTTCGCATTCATTCAGTTGAGACTTCCGAGCAGCCTACTAGGTGCCACACTGGAAACTCACTGAGGAATGAGAGTGTTCTCCTCTATGGGCTACATGCACCCTTGGAGGCCCAAATTTTGAAACATTCAATTACTGCAACATTTTTACCCAATACTACAAAGATCTACATCTCTGTTAAATTCTTTAAAGTACAGCAAAAAAAAAAAAGTCCTAAAATCGCGTACTTACCTACCACTACTATTACTTTAAAAAATAAATAACAGAAAACAAAAAATAAATAAATAACAAATAAATAAAAAGAAACAGTCCACTTTTTTTTTTTTTACAATGCCAGCGCTATTACTTGAATCAAGCCTAACAGGCGAGGCAGTTTCCAGTTAAAATCCCTTTTGAAAACGGGAACTTGGGCGGAGGATGTTGGCTCAGCTGGTAGAGTGCTTGCCTCGTATGCGCAAAGCACTAAGTTTGATTCCCAACAACTGCTTACATGAGGAGCACCTCCATGGACCCTCAGCAGTCATCACATCCAACAGAGGCAGGGTGGGTGCATAGCCATGAACATTGCGCTTGTATGAGTCACCAGGTGGGACTTGGCCACTCTTGTCAATTTGTCTGGCTGATGCTGGACCATAATTAAAATGCTTACATTGTCCCCAATGAGGGCTTTCACTGGGCTAACAGAACCAGGGGAGCCTGGTGAAGTGGCAGGTAGTCCTTGTAGAATAACTGTTCGATGAGCCAACAAGAGGTGGAAAGAAAAAAAAAAATAAAAGAAAAAAAAAAGAAAAAAAAAATAAAAATAAAAAAAAAATAAATAAAAAAAAAAAAAAAAAAAAGAGGTGGAAAGAGACCAACATTCAATAAAGGATGACTAGCCGAGCCTGGGACGAGTCAGAGCTTTGGGTTATTATTAGACATGCTTAAGGCAGGGCTGGGATGTAACTCGGTTGGCAGAATGGTTGCCTAAAATGCATGAGGCCCTGGGTTTAACCCCCAACACCACATAAACCTTTCCCCTGCTCACCCTTCCTCTCTCATTCTTTTTTAGTCTGGCTGGTACTCACTGGAGAGCCCAGGAGTGCCTTGAATTGACAGCAATCCTCCTGTCTCCAACTCCCCCAAACACTGGATTTACAGGTGTGTGTCACGCTGACTAGCTATTTCTTCATGCGTGATCTGAGACACATGACTCAATTGTGTTCATATGTCTATACATTTGGAATAGCACCCAGGAGCCTTCTCTTTTTCTTTCCCAGATAGTAGCTCTCCTATTGCCCAGGTTGACCTTGAACCCACTATGTAGCCCAGGTTAGCCCAGAATTAATTCATTATATAGTTGAGAATGACCCTTCAATTCCTGAACCTCCTGCCTCTACCACCCTAGTGCTAGAATCATGTGCAAAATCCAACACATTCAGCTTTGGAGCCTTCCCTTCATCAGGGCAAGCTCTTTTTCTCAAGTCCAAAATAACTCCTGCAATAAGTCAGCATTTACTTTATTACACACTGACTGCCTGAATGTGCTTGTACACCTACCCTTCCATCTCACCTCCCCACCCCTGCCCCTTTCTCGTTTCAGATTTGCTATGTAGCCCAGGCTGGCCTAGAACCCAAGATTACTGGAGCATAATACCACACACCAGCTCTGCCTTAGGTATTTTAGAGAGAGTTTAGTCCAATCTCATTGCCATAGTAACAAATTTGTTTAGAACACAGTAAACATGTGTCACTTTATGCATCAAAGTACTTAAAGTATCTTTCCTTAGAGAAGCTTGTAAGCTGAGAACTTAAGTGTGTAGCTTACACCTGGGAAGCTGAGAAAGGAGGATTGCTGTGAGTTCAAGGTCAGCCTGAGGTACACAGGGAATAGGGGCCAGAGTGAGAACCTGAAGAAACAGAAGGGGAAAGGGAAGGACAAGGGAAGGAGTGGAGAGGAAGGGGAAGAAGTAAGGGAAGGAGGAGTGAAGGGAGGGGTAAAAGAAAGAAAGAAGAGAAGGGAGGTAGAAAAAAGGGAGAGAAGTGGAAGGGGAGCGGGAAGAGGAAGAGGATGTTAATGGTGGGGGAAGAAAAGAAGAGGAGAGGGTGGAGTGGTTTCTTACAGGAGACTGAAAGGGCTAGAGCTCTCACAACCCTGCAATGCACCCTTTAGAATCAGAAGACTATTTCTCTACAGAAAAAAGCTGTCACTGCCGGCCCAAAGAAAATAAGAAAGAGACTTGACACAGCACAGCTGAGGGAGAAAAATGGCTGGGACAAAGAGCCTGGGGACAGGGAACACAAAATGCTTCACTATTTTTCTTGGCATGTCCTTACACAGAGAGCCGAAAGGAAATGAAAAGCATCCTTCACGACAACCTCTAGGGACATTCTGGAGAAGAAGGAAACAGAAGGTGCATGCTAAGATAACTCTAGACATATGGGCCGAAACGCTACATCTGTGTAACGGATCTGGGAATGCACGTTTATCAGAGCAGGCTTGTCCAACCTGCACATTGAATGCATCCCAGAACAGCTGGGAAGACACCTCAACACATCTGCAGATGACAGCATCGTATCGAAATGCCAAAGGTGGCACGCTCCTTCACGTGAGTGTCTCTGGCTGTGTGCAAGAGTGTGCATGTGGCTGTGCCGCACTGAGTGTGCCTGTCAGCCCCTCTGGGGAGGAGAACTCAGCCCTGCTTACCTTGGTGGGGATGCGCGCTGACAGGAGGAAGGCTCGGCATGACGTGAGCACCTGCAACACAAAAGCAGATGTTGGTGTCAGTGCTGAAAACTGGGCCTGCCAGGATTCGGTCTCACCAAATGACATTGATACCCTAAAACCTTCAGTTACCACTGTGGCAGGTAGAGTAAGTGACCAGGGACAGTTTCTTGGCGCTGTAGAATCAGTTCCGGTCTAGGAAGACCTGCATCAAGGCTTATTTGGACAAGTAACCCAGGAACTTTGGTCAGGCAGTTGGCCCGCAGACTAGATCACCGTGGCTGAACAGGACAGACACTGGAAAGTGATTTATGTGGCATAGTGTCCTGAGTCAGCTACATCGACAGCAAACTTAGTGAAGGTCAGTACCTGCTCACTCGTACTTCCCCAAGGACAAGCAGCATCTGTGTGTGCCCTCCTGTTCCCACCGTGAGGGCTTAAGCTGGTAGCACTCATATAACACATGGGCCAAAAAATTAGGCTAGTTTTCAAGAGACCTCCCCCAACTTTGCTTCTTGAGATAGACAGGGCATTCTTGAACTTTCTTCCTGATAATCAGCTAATGGCATCGGGACACCGTGGGACCCTGTGGGCCTAGAAGCCTCTCTTGCCATGCAGAGGACCCCTCATGAATCCAAAGAAGCTGATGCCTGGCTTTGAGCAGGGTGCACCACAGAGATCCCCACTGGCCCCATGAGCATTTGAAGGAGAGAAAGAAATAAAAGCCCAGCGAGCAGTGACAGGAGAATTGCCTTCCTTCATTTTTCAAAGAACTTCCTCGTTAATAAATTCTTGTTTAGCAAATGGGACTTATGTACTAACCTAGGAATCCTAGGTTTGAATAGAATCTTAGAAGCTATACATCAGGACTTGGGGTGATACAGCTCAGAGGTATAGCGCTTGGCTGGCATCCCCTAGAGCCATTGGTAGGTTCTCAACCTACAGATCTCAGTCTCTGGGGTCAAACAACCCGTGTGTCTCAGATATTTATATTATGATTCACAACAGTAGCAAAATTACAGTTATTCACTAGCAACTAAAATAAGTTTATAGTAGGGGGTCACCACAATATGAGGGACTGTATTAGAGGGTCTCAGCATCAGGAAGGTTGAGAACCACAGCACTAGGCCCTTGGTCAGTCTCTACTAAGAAAGAAAAAAGGGGGCTATGCACAGGAGCCATTCTTGCCTAAAACCTTCACTGCTTGACTTTAGAAGTAGGTGGAGGAAGATATCATCCTTTGAAGATTTGATATGCTATAAGTCAATCACAGCTCTTAGGGGTCAGGTAAAGAAGCAAAGCAATAAACATGAAAAATGTCAAGGGAAGTGCAGGCAGCATTTGCTGATCACGAGATGAACTTAGGATGCAGAGAACCTGAGAGAAGCAACCTAAGAGCAGGTGGAACACGTCTGTAACTATTGCTTGATCACCAGGAAGCATGAAAAGTGTAGAGAGGCAGGGTACCATTACCTGGATGCTCTGAGGGGCCAATTCCTATTGTCCACACTCAACAGTCTGAATGTTGTCAGTGTTGTGGGAGGAAACACTATCTTTATTCCCCTAAGCACAAGACGCTGGGGCAGACAGAGATGAGCCACCTTGTGGATGGAATGGGCTTTCCACGCCATCCTGGTGGGCTCCTTCACCCGCCTTTCTGCTTCCTCACTGACGTGTGGTGAGCAGCTCCGCTCCACCAAACGTTCCACATTCCCACAGCAGGCACAGCAGCACATGGTGGAGCTGGAGTTCCGACCCAGATGCTCTAGCTACACTTCTGGGGTGCTTCCTGCTACTCACCCCAGATTCTAACCTTCCTGTATGAGCCAGATTCTTCAGGAATTGACACACATGGAACCACAAACCAGTCACGGAACATTAGTCTTATGAAGCAAACAGATACACAGGTCATCAGTAGCCAGAGGGGTGAGTGGTACCCTAAGAAGAAGGTTGAGTTCCTATTGGTGATTCAGATTGCCTTCCCTGCCTCCATCTCGGGTCATAGCCCGGTCTCTGTCACTGTCACCACCCGCTGCTGTCTGCCTGGGTCTAGATACATATGTCTCAGTCTTCGTCTCTCCTCACTGTCCCCCATTCCTCCCCTCAGACCCCCTCTCTGCCACTGCTGCCACTGTTCCCACCAGGTCTCTTCCCATTTGCTCCAGCCTCTCCCTTCCTCTGCTTTCTATGCTTGCTGCAGCACTTTCTTCCCCAACCCTTTCTCTAAAGATCACTGTAGATCCTGGGTTTTCTTTATGCCTTTGGGGGAAAAAAAAAAAAACACACATCAATCACAGAAGAAACACTGCATTCCAGGAGAGAATTTCATCTGCAACACAGTCGCAGAGAACTGTGAACAAAACACGAATAAAACCGAAGACAGCCTTTGGACATCATTATACAGTGAGCCACAGGTAATTAAGCGCTTTACAAGGTCCCCTGTGTGCACCTAATTAATAAGTCTTTAAAACGAATCTCAGAACACACACTTCAGCAACTGGAATAGGGCAGCATATGGCACTGCTACCCTTCCTACCCTGTGGCTACACTTGGGGATAAACACCTCCCACCGCCAGCCACCAAGGCTGGCCGAACTGTGTGCATCCTCTCCCGCCACACCCCTTCCACAGATGCAATCACAAGGTATTTCTGGAGGTCTTGGGTTGGGCATTAAGTATTAGTAGTCACTTAAACACAAAAGAGATAGAAAAGAAAAAAACAAAACCACACATCCCCATTTGAGTAAGGGCCATCTCTTGGCCACAGGGAGACATTCATTTCATAATGATCATTCTGCCTTCACCCTGGAACTGCACAGGCTCACAGTCTGTGGCCCGGTGTGCTGACTTCCTATCTTTACAAGTATTTGTGTAAATACAGAGCATCCTTTTGAAGTTGAACACAGTTCAAAAGAAGTTGTTTGAGAAGAGATGCATCCATGAGGAAGCCCAGGCTTTGATAGAAGACAGACAAGCCATAAAAACTTTTTTCTGTCTGGTCCTACTTTCTAAAAAGCCAGCTCCAGTCTCCAGATTCATGTAGCAATACTAAGAAAATGTGTTAGGGAGCAGAAGTGAAGGAGACAGATCTTTCAGCACCTCAGAGCACAGTGGGTCATATTGCAAGACTGAAAGCTACAGGTACCACTGTTCTGAATCATACATCTATCTCCCTTTATCAGCACAAACTGAGTCAATAAATGAAGCTCCAGGCATGCTGGAAAGCCCCATCCATGCATTTCCAAACTGCCCCAAGGTGTAGCCACAGAGGATTTGCAAGCACGGGTATGGATTCTAACTACATGGGAAGAGCCAGGATCATGCTCATGGGGAGATATGCTAGAGTAACCCTGCACTTTGGTGTGACCACACACCTCACAAAAAGCAACTTAAGGGAGAAGTGATCATTGGGCTTACAGTTCTAGGTGCTACAGTCCCTCGAGGCAGAGAAGGCACTATGGGAGGAGTATGTGGTGACAAGTTGGTGGCACTATGTCCATAGATGGGAAGCAGAGAGCAGCTGGAAAACAGAGCAAGCCCCCTGCAATAACCCAGGCAATGAGGCTCCACATCCTAATTTTCCACAACCTTCCCTAACAGCACGGCCAGATGATACCAAGCTTTCCGACCACAAGAGCCTATGAGAGATTCTTCATTTTCAAACCAAAACCTTCTCATGGACCACGACCTCCATCACGGTCAAACCTCCTCCTTTCTGAGGACATTTCCCATGCTGGCACTGAGGATCTTCTCGGGAACCCAGGTCAACCTGCGTGCTTGGATTTGAGTCTCAAAAACACTTGGATTGGAATTCTGGTTCTCCCACTTTCTTCCACAAAGCTGACACCTCCCACAGCTGAGAGGCTGCAGACATCCTCAAGGGAGGAAATAAGGCTCCTGAAACAAGAGACGCTCAAGCAGGAACAGCCACCACAGGACCGTGATGAGGAAATAATAGTTAGACAGCGAGGGCCGCTCCAGCACCTAGCACGTACTTGCTGAACACAAGCTTTCCTCATCACTCTTTCTTCGGGTCCCCAGGGTAAGGTCCACTTCCTCAGATTCGCTCAACAAAACCCACAAAGATACTAAGGCAAGCCCTAAGCTGAAATTTTCTGTCAATACACATTTTGGCCTTGAAGAAGAATTTTCTTGCAAAGTTTAAAAAAAAAATGAGGAACAGTAACATGATAACTCACACTTGTAATCACACTTGGGGGACTGAGGCAGAAGGATCACTGTGACTCCCTGACTTGAGCTACTGAGTAAGACCTTGACTATAAGAAACAAGGGGAGTGGGATATGGAGAGCATACATACACTTAGCCAAGGGGCCCTCATTATCATGAGCAAAGCCATCACTGCCCTCCAGCCTTCCCGTAAGACTCCTTCTTCCACAGAAGCTTAGTGAGCACGCAACAGAGTGGATGCTCTCATCCCACAGTCTTAATGAATTTCATCTGAGCTTCACTGAAAGGCAAGCATAAGCCCTGGTTGTCCTAGAACTTGCTTGGTAAACCAGGCTGGCCTCAAACTCACAGAGATCTGCCTGCCTCTGCCTCCCAAGTGCTGAGATTAAAGGCACAGTGCACCACCATGCCTGGTCAGTTTTATTGGTATATAACCATAGCAGTTTGCTCAATATAGTATTCCTGGCATTGAAAAGTTAAATAAATTATGTATACTTTTGTGTATCCACAGGTGAGTATGCACACATGAGTTCAAGTGCACAAGGAGGCCAAGAGAGGGTTCCAGGTCCCCTGGAGCTGGAATCAGAGACAGTCACATGACATCTGATGTGGGTGTGGGCCTAGCAGTGTCCGGCTGCGATTCCAGCTTCAGTATTTACTATTTCTATGACATTGGGACAAATACTAAACCTCTGTCATGCCTCAGTGCCTTCCTTTGTGACTGAGAGCAATAAATCCAGTGTAGTGGCACAAATCTATAATCCCAACCTCCAGTTTACACTACATAGTGAGAACCTGTCTCAAAACAAATACTGGAAAACAAAAACAAACAAACAAGGGCTGGG